TTAATCATAAAGTACTAGCAATTAATAGTTAATGATGATAATAAGGACAATACTACTTTAGAAAAGTGTAAAAGCTGTAATTTAGGAAGGTGCAATAACTAAAGCTGTATAATTAGACAAAAATATGAAAGTTAGCATCAAGTATTAGGAAAAGTTTATAGAATCGAAGAGGCCTCATATACAAAAATTCCAGTTTTAGTCTGCAAAAGAGACAGAGAGTTAAATAGTATAGTAGCTAGTAGAGATATTAATGATATAGAAATTTGTATTGTAGATATAGAGGAGACAATAATACATAGAGTAGTAAAAGATAAAAAGGTATAAGTAGAACTATGTAGATTAGCTAGAATCATCAAAAGAAAAAATGAGTTATATATATATACAGATAGTTTACTAGTTATAAAGGTATTAGGAGATAAAGAAATTAAAAAAATAGGTATAGGATGGGTTATAGCAGATAATAGTAGTAGCAATTGTAGTATAAGTTTTAGTGGTAGGATACTAAACTAGCCTTCTTCAACTCGTGCTGAACTAAATGCAATTTGGATAGTACTACTAGTTATACCATATAAAGCAAATATTTGAATCTTTTCTGATAGTAAAGCAGCAATTGAAAGAATTCAGAACTTTTAGGATTTAATAAGTATAAGGAGTAACTTTAAAATCAAAAATTATAGTCTAATTAACCAAATTTTTAACTGTTGCAAAATGAAAGAAATCAAGTTAGAGCTTATTAAAGTCAAAGAGCATAGCTCAAATATATAGAATAATAAAACAAATTGTTTAGCAAAAGCAAGTCTTATATCTGACTTTATACTTGAGACTCAAGAAGTATCAATAAATAAATTAAGAACATTCTCTGTTTGAAAAGAGAAAATAATAGACACTGTATTTAGATCCTTTGTTAATTTAACTATAATAACAATAAATGAAAATGCATGAGCAAACTTAAATAGTATCAAACTAGTACTAAATCAGAAAGTAACAGATCTAAGCAATTCTGATTTGAACTGAAACAATACATGAAGTATACTGAAAAGCCAATAAGGTAAAAGATGTACAATCATTAGAAAAAGTAATGCACTAATATTTAGGATCAAATATCTTAATAAGCTTTTACTTACAAAAGATATATGCTATTAAAGGAACTTTGTACTTTACAAAAGCAAAACTTGCATTGCCTGCTATGCAAAGATAGAGTCATTAGAATATTTAGCAGAATACCAAATATATCAAGAGATTTGAAAAAAAATAGAAATGTTTATAATGGAGGAGCTAAAGCAATAGCTTAGTTCTAAATAGGAAATTACAATAAGAAGCCAAATACTTAACAAGGTTTTTTTAAATTCAAATACAGAAACTAAGCTTTAAAAAAGAAAACTCTATATACAGGACTTACTAGTAAAAGTTTAGTAGCAGAGGCTAAAGACCTTCTAGGCTCAACTTATAAAGCAAACAAAGCTATTTGCTATTTCAAGAAATATTCTAGTCAAACTTTTTTGAAAGGCTTTAGAAATTTTGCTATGAGATAATGTTAAAGTAAAAGAAAAGAAATAATATTGACAACAAGAAAAAGAAGAAAAAGTTTAAATGCAACTCCTAAACCAAAATAAGGAAAAAGTAAGAAAATAAAGAAAATCAAGCTTTAATGAGAAAAGAGATAAAGGAATCAGAACAAGATAAAGAAATAAGGATTCAAAAAGAAGCTAAAAGCAAAGTTGAAAAATAGATCGAAAAAGGAATTAAAGATAGTTGGTTAAGTTTCAAAAACAATTAGGCAATTTTGATATAGATGTATAGTAGCTTTCTGTAGATCTTTAAAGTAAGATTCTGTTTAGATATTCTACTCTTTTAGAAGGAAAATTTTGTTATTACAACAGATCATATCTGAACACTTTAAGTAGCTGAGTGAGTCTGAATTTAAATCAAAAGGGCAGTTGTATAGCTAGTTTTATATAGTTTATATTTTTGCTATAATATGTTTTATGTTTTCTTTTAATAAATAAAAGGCAAGATCACCTAAGGAAAAAAAAAAGATAATTAGGATCAATAAATTGAAAGTATTGGTATGTATTTTGACTATTAAAATTTATTTGTTTTGAAATTATATTATTTGAAAATCTGGTTTCAATTGACTGTTTGATATGTTATAAGCATAATTGTACTTTAATACTTTTTTAGACAAATTATGCAACTAATATTTAGACAAAATCTTTATCTGTTAAAAAAAATTCAGAATTAAGCTCAAGTATTTGTAATCCACAAAAAAAATCAATTAGTATACTCGTATGAATTCTATTAATACAATTTCTATTATTCTCAAGAAATAAGTAAGCTAAAAGATATCTGCTTCTATTTATTTGAGTATAAACTATATATAATTCAAATTTTTTTTTTTTTTTTTTTTTTTTTTTTTTTACGTTGATACAAATACTATTAGCTTAACTTTTATTAGGTTATTATAGTTATGAAATATGATACATATTGTAAGAGTATAACTAGCTACATGTACAATTTTAGATTATCTATTTTAAATAGTCCACTTGAAAGTTCTACACTAGCTACTATACCTGTAACTTCTTAGAATATTACCTATTTAAACTCTCTGGTCCTATCTCATGTTCACAAGTATAGTATTACCAAGTTAACTATAACCTTGTACTACTTTACTTTGAAAGATATCCAAGCTAACATATGTTGTATACTTTACTATTATGAGCCTAGAGTCTTACCAGATAAGTCCTCACTTCAATACCTTCTAATAGATAGATAATATAATACCTAACTATGCTATACTATATTCTAATCTAGCTTGCATATACCCTTATTCGATATTCGTACAAATCTAGTTCTAGCTGTAGCCTCTACTAGATTAGACTTCTGTATCTTTCTGAATGTTTCACAAAGTAGATCTTCCCAATTTAGTTAGCTGCTAAGCTAAGTTAGTGTTGCTGTAACACCTAATGTTACAGACTTACTTACACCTTTTTCTGATCTACATCTTTATACTCAGAAATCTTTATCAGATCAAGCATTAACTAGCATAACTGTTAAGATCTGTACTACTTCATCTAACTCAAAATTTCTACTATGCAGGTTCTCTGCTCATAAATTCTATCTTGATTTATTTATATAATGCAACTCCAATATTCTGTTATACTTCCAATGTCTGAACAACATTAGTGCAATATGATTTACAGGGTTATAATCTCAGAAACAAACAGAGTTTATTATAAGTTAGATACAGATATTTAAATAATTATTCAATTCTGTTGATAGTAAGATTTGAACCCTAGACCTCTTGTATAGTGATCTGACAACCTATTTACTACATTAGATCATCAGACCTTAATTCAAAATTTAAATTATTTGTTTTATCTATAATTCTAAAATAAAATTAAATAAATTTATATAGTGATAGTAATAAATAAATTAATTATTAATAAAATATAGTAATAGTTACATATTACATCAACTCCAATTTCATTAATTTGAAATTTTAAACTTTTAAAAATCTCCCATATTCTAGTTAAAAATCTAATAGCTTGTAGTACTTTTTTTTGAAATATAATTTGATAAGAATTTTTTCTTAAGTATTTTTGTACTGATAAAAGAGAATTATTATCATGTTAAAATCTTTTTTTTTCAAGTACTATCTACTAAAAATGAATTTGTTTTTAATATATATTGATGCTTAAATTTTGCACAACTAATCATTTATAAATTTCACGTAGAAGCAAATTAATATTTTCCAAAATATATTGCTTTATTTCTGATAAAATTAAATTATCTAATCGAACAGAATATAAACAATGATGCATCTCTATATTAGATAATAGATGATCTTGAAAAATAATGATTTTAATATATCCTTTACAAGAAAAATATTCCATTTGTTGTCTATCACAATGCTTTGTAAAATCATTATTTTTTTTTGATTATTCTATTAAACAATTATACTAAAAACAATAATAATTATAAGTTATTAAATTTGATTTTTTTGAAATATATAGTGCAGGACACCTAAAGGCAGAAATCACGTGACTTTGTCCTATTTTGGTTCGAATTTTGAAAAAGTTTCAAATCGCACAAAAAACCGATTTTTACGATACGATACCATAGTCACGTAATAATTATGTCATAAAGTTTAAAACCCGGTTTTATTTTTATACGATACGATACTATACAAACCAGCATAGTGGAAATTTAAAATTAAAAATCATTGCCCCTGTTACACTCGATACTCTTTACAGTATTGATAATCTTTATTATCTTTTGTACAAACAACTTGTTCACGTGAAATTCGAAACTTTACTTTGAAGAAATATCGTTTTCTATTAGTTATTTCGGTTTAAAATGCTAGAAATTTAATGTAATAGCTTTGTGTTACCTACTGGCATTATCAGAATTGTCTCTAATAAAAGTTAGTGGAACACGCGATCCTACGCGATCCCAAATACCTATATAAAAGATATAGTTTTAAAATATAATCTTGCAAAATTTTAGATAGCTTTGATTATGAAAAGTTTTTTTTTGTATATTTCAGAGTCAAAAAACTCTATTATAGTATAAACAATATAAATAATATTATGTAACGGTGATTTTCAATAGAAATTGATAACCAATCAAAACAAACTTCCACTATGCTATACAAACCTGATTCCAAACTTTATTATTTAATATGGGTATTGACATTTTAAATTAACATTTTTAATTACGCATTAAATTTTAATTTTTTTTTAATTGTGCATTAAATTTTATTTAAATTTAACTTTTATTTATTTATTTTCTTTAACTGCATTATTTAAATTCACTTATATTTATTTTTGCATATTAATTTTATTACATTTATTTATTTTAATCACATTCAATTTTATTTAAATTTATTTATTGAACACAATCTATTTCCTTATTTTCTTGCACAAATAAATCCAATTCGTTTTGAGAAACTCTTCTATGGGATTTAAAATTTTTATATGCATATTCTGCTAACTTTCCTGTTAACCTTTCACGGTATAACTCCATATATCTTCACGTTTGTGAGCAAACTTCCTAATTGTAATGACATCTACTGAATCAAGCGCTTGTAGAACAGTTTCTTGCAAGCCAGTCCATGTGTAATCGCAGTGATCTCTCGCATATCTTTTAGCTGCACCCTAATACATTTCAATAAAGTTAAGTTCACAGTGGAACTTCGGATAAAAAATGCAGATATGACCGGCACCTTCAATTAATTCCACAATAGCAGACTTTTGGGTGACAAAGTCTGGTTGAGAGGCCATAATTTTTCTCAAGTAGCAATCTATTCGACCTGAATCCTTCTTTTTTTTACACTTTTCACAATCTAAATTTAACCCTTTTTTCCAAAGTCTTCTTTTCTCTAACACCTTTTTTATTCCTTTTGGCTTTCCTCTCATATTGGGATCGGGGTAATCCTCCTTAAATACCATTTCCTGCTCTTTTCGTCAGCCATTGATATCAATGAAGGTTGTCGGACGCATAACATTTTGCTTTCCTCCGGGTCCTTTGTTTATTTTTTTCGCTATAAGAGCGTCATCTGCAAATGCCGCGTGATTTGTACTGTTGTCAAAAGCGAAGACAGCCGTTGCATCAGGAAATTTTGCTTCAAAAATAGGGATGGCTTTTTTTTGGATTTGGTTTAATAAATGTTCGATTGTCCAGTAATTCTCTTCATTTTTACCGGGTTTTAAATAACAGCGCGCTTCTGCAGGAACATTAGGATTTTTTTGTTTTTCTTCCTCACTTAGTTGTAATCTGCCACATGCCTCCAAAATAAATTCACTCACTATAATCGATTTTCTATTACCTTTCTTACGCAATAGCATCATCCCATTATGCACCCAGATCCCTCTTTTTCCATCATTTGAATAAAAAATGCACTCATCATGAGTGATAAAAATTAGCTCATGCTCTCCTACTCCAAGCATCGGTGGGACCAGTTCCATTTTTTCTCCTTCATACGTCTTCATCCGTCACTCTAAATTCTTCATTTCCTCTAAAAACTTACTCCGATATTCAACAACATCTCTTCGTTCGTGTCCATCAAAGTACATACCCTTCTGGTATTTTTTAAACTGACAACCTAAAACATTCAACCATCTTTTAGCCGTTCTTAGGCTAATTGACTTCCTTGTCCCTCCTGTGTACTCAGGTAATATGGCAGAATCAATGTATTGTTTAAACTGGGATGGACTAACGCCATTTACCCCTGATTCTTCACGTATCCATTGCCTACATTTTAGCGCTACATCTTTATCATCAACTAAACGTTTATATTTTTGATGTCTACTGCGATGAGAAAGTGGAAACGACTCATAGCGTAAAAAAAAATTACCAAAAAAGTGAACCCTTTTATATTTGTATGGGTTTGGGTTGACATAGACTATATGTGCTGCAGCTTCACTTGCTTTCAACTTTCCGTGACCATCATAAAGCCTTACGAAATATTCATAAACTGCCCGTCGTTCATTATACTCAAAAGCACTGAATGTCTTTTCATTTTTTAGAAGATTTTCCTGAAGCTGAGTGATTACATCACCAAGTTCAAAGTGTCCTTCTTCATCACCATCGTCACCTCCACCATAACCTCCACCATCACCTCCACCATCATCACTATCCTCACTTTCATTCTCATCACTATTCAGTTTGGCCAAGGTTGAATACGTAGGAGATGCTAATCGTAATGCCAAATACGTTGGTGACGTCGATGTTGAAGGTCCTAAGAAACTGGTAATTTTGGATGTTCTTTTGGCGGCACTGGTAAGCGTTCCAGAAGCACCGAACTTGTGATAGTAGGTTGATTTTGGGATGCCCCTTATTTTTCTTATTTCTGGCCTTTTTTTCCATACGAGGGGTACCATAAGTAAACGAATTCGTGTTCTTTCTTCTTCATCTATCTCATTCTCCTCCTCATCACTGTATTCATCCAAACCTTGCTCCTCATCTATCTTTTCATTCTTATCTTGATCACTATTCTCATTCGAACTATGTTCAATATCATCCGCTTCATTTAACATATTCACATTTTTCTGTCTTTTCTAGGCCATTTTCTTCTTTTTGTTATTATACTCACGAAGTTTAGCATACTTTTTTCTCTTAGGCATTTGTTTAAAGCATTTTTTTTTCTTGTTTTTGTTTTTGTTTCTTTTTTTTGTTTCTTTTTTTTTTCTTTTTCTTTTTTTCGTTTTTGTTTCTTTTTCTTGTTTTTTTT